AGGAAATAGAAGATATCCCTACTCACTTTATCTCTGTTCTCCCTGATTACGATGAAAATACTACTCAAATTCAATTTCCTTCTTAAATTAATACTCTTAATCTCTCTTTGCTAATATCGATTTGGAATTTGCTCTTACTCCTCCTGCATTATAACTAACCTTCCTCGAGCCCAACCTCACCCATTTACTCAACTTCTTAATTATATTATATCTACTAACATACTTACTAATATTACTAACCCTTCTCTTGCATCTGGAGCTTACCCTCAAGCTGATTTAGATCTTAATACTACTCCACTAAATACTCCTCCTCAATTCTGACAACAACTTCCTACTGCATTATTATTAATAGAACCTAACCAAGACCCTGACCAAGATCCTAACTTCATTGTTGAAATACCAGAAGAAGATAATAACCAAGCTTCTGACGCTGAGACAACTTCTACCATAACTGACGAAGAACCAAAACAAGAAGAAGATATAGCTGATGCTATACTTAGAGCCGCTACTAAAGCAATGACCGCTGTTGCTGCTACCTTGAGACACAGTGATAAAAAGTTCTTTATCAAAGTAGATTTCTATCGAGGTGACAGAACCCAAGACCCTATAACTTGGTTAGAAGAATTTGACTGTGTTGCCAAAGCCAACCACTAGAGCCCTGCTCAACAACTAGAATTATCTGCTGCATATATAAAGAACAATGCCCAAGAATGGTTTACTAGTTTTGCCAATACACCTACTCACTATCACCATGCTTAACATGACCAAGTGGTAAATGGCAACTGTGTTTACAGTTTTACTCATCTGTTTAAAGCAAAGTTCAGTACAACTAGACAAAAAGCTACTTGGCAAAAAAAGCTTTTTGAAATCAAACAAGGAACAAACACAGTTGATACCTATGTTAGCCATTTTAAACAACTTCAACTTCGAGTAGACCCTAATAATGGTATCCCTGGAGCCATGTTAGTTCAATTCTTTATCTAAGGTCTATAACCAGAATATACTATGAATGTATAAGCCACTAAACCTGCTGATCTAAACCATACTATACAAGAGGTATGCAAATAGAAAATTGGATGAGTTATGGCCTCTGAAAATAATACTAATAGTAATAGAAATGACCAAGCTATTGCTCGCCTTACTGAACAAATTGCCAAGCTCAATATCAATCTTGCTAAAAAAAACCTGCTACTCCTGTTTATTATTCTGAAAATAACAACTCTTCTTGCTGAAACAATAATAATAATAATAATTATTATTTTCAAGACAATACCTGCTACTACTGTAGCAACAGATAACACTTTATTAGAGATTGCTATACACGAAGAAAGGATAATAGAAGAAGCTCACATAACTATCGATCCTCTAGCTGAGATAATAGATACTCCTCTAGGGATAATCGATTCTATGATAGATCTAGATCTCGCAATAGAGATAGATCCAGAAACAGAGATTATGACAGAAGAAACAGATCCAGAAATAGAAGTCAATCTCATGATAAATATCACTCTGACAACTGTTCTTCTTATGACCAGAACTATAGGTCTAGAAGCCAATCCTCCACCTCTTACCCTCAAAATATATATACTGCAGATACAGCTAATAACTATATCTACGAACAATTTAAACAATTCTTAGTCAATGAATCTATCAAAACAGCCTTAGCTAGCTATCTTACAGAAGAATCTAATACCTCTAACCAGACACAAATATCAACTTACACTACTCCTGTCAAATGTAATATTAAACTTAGAAACAGACCTTACTATACTATTGTTGATAGTAGAGCTGCAATTAGTATGATCTTCTACAAAGTTGTTAAAGAACTTGGTTTAAAGATTGAAGCCTCCTTTACAAGCTTAATTGGATCAGCTACTGGACCTTCTACTGAACTCCTAGTAATTATTAAAATCTGCTAGTAGAAATTGAAGAAGTTACTATCTCTCTCGATATAGAAGTCATGGACATTGCATCTTACTCTCTGCTCTTAGAAAATGACTGTTTCAAAAAGTTAAAGCCAGTTACAATTGGAAAAACAAGGCCTATACAATTAAGTGGAATAAAAAGAAGATCCATATTCTAACTACCTACGAACAATATCAACCCTTGACAGCTCAACTAACAGTAACCGATAAAAGAGATCTAGCCCAATTCGAACAGGAATACCTTGTTTCAAAAGAAGTCTATACTATTAATCTTGTAGTAACTACTAATGAAAACCTATAGATTACTCAGACCTTCAGAACCAGACATAGGACTCAACAAGCACCCTCTACCAGAACATGCTGAGGATATAACTCTACAACCCATCTCTTTGCTGACTACCTCATAACCAATATCATCGCTACTATCAATATGGACATATCTCTGCTTATTGTTCTTACCAAGTCCCTAAACAAGACTTTTGTAAAACCTGTGCTCAACCAGGATATTTCTATAGAAACTGCCCCAAAATAAATATCACCAATGTGATCAATACGGTCATATTAGTATTGACTACTCTCTTGCCTCTATCAAGTTGGATAACCAAAGATACAGATGTAGATGTTTCTCTGATGAAGTAAATGAACAATGGCAAAGCTACTACTCATGTAAAAGAGTTAATCATTGTTGTTAATACAAAGTACTCCAGAGACCAGAAAACCTTAGATTGTTAGACCAGACTCTAGTCTGTAGAGCCTGTTGGACTGACTTTCATTATGAATTAGACCGAGATGACCCAAGAAGTATTGAATACTTTACTAATAGTGACAGACGAGGAACCCTCACTAAGTGCCAAGTCTGTAGTGAAGAATTCATTTGATCCAGAATGTATAAACTAGATATAGTAGAAGAAAACACCTGGTTTTGTGACTTAGAACACTTGTATGCTTACAAGGCTGCCAAAGATATTGAATAGAACCCCAACTATAACTTGTAGATTCGAGTTAGATATTATACTGAATCTACCAGAAATGCTAGACATGCTTATGATCTTAACCAAAGCCAAATCTATCATCTAGCCCAGATCCAACTAGCTGAAAGTAGTGAATAACTTGCTAGTGCTCTTGAACCCCTAGCAACAGACCACTCTAACTAGGATTATACTGATGAGGAAATCAACCTTATTATGAGAGCCCTCATATTGAGTTGATTTCAACTGAAGCGGACGAATTACAAAGAATCTTAGCCAAATCATTTGATACTAGCCATCCTGACTTTGACCAATGAAGAGCTATAGAGAATCTACAGAAAAATTTTTAAGGAACTGTAGAACTTTGTAGGAATTGTCTTATGGCAAAAGCTAAGACTGAACTTAAACAATATGATCAATGTTGTCAAGAGTATCATGATAAACTTTATCCACCTCTTCCACTTATACATGCCGCACAAACGTTTGGGATTTGGGATTTTTCCATGTACAAACCCGGACAAATGGGATTTTCCAATTATATTTGAAATCCCATAAGCCCAAACTGGACAAATCCCAATCCCAAATCCCAAATCCCAAATCTATCCCAAATCCCAAATATCATCCCAAATCTCAAATATCATCCCAAATCCCAAATCTATCCCAAATCCCAAACCTATCCCAAATCCCAAATCCATCCCAAATCCCAAATATCATCCCAAATCCCAAATCCATCCCAAATCCCAAATTCATCCCAAATCCCAAATTCCATCCCAAATCCCAAATTTCAGTCCAAAAATTAAATTAGTAACATATAAGTTTTATATCCTTTAAGTTTTTTTGGTTTGCTTCACAATCTTGGTATAATAACTCTACACTAGTGTTTCGATCCTACTTGTTAAAGGCTATTCAGATTAAATTCAGAACCTGCTTCGCATATCTGATTAATAATTCGGATTCAAGTAAATTAGCAAATTCGGATTCAACAATATGAAACTTAATGCTAGACATATAGCTAAGAAAATAAACTACAACGTTAAACATTCATGAGCCTAAATAACTTATCTTAAAATACATGAATTTATAATAATTAATTGAAGTATTACATAATGATAAATAAGCAGTTTATTATTCGCATATTAAATATATCGATTAATCAATAATGTTTACTTATCCTGTTCTTGAGCGCCTCCCACTATGGTTATGTAATAAAATGCATATGAATTATGGATTCATCCGTCCAAAACTGACGGATACGGATATCCACATTTAATCCGAATTGTCGGATCTATCCGAATTATTTGGATTACACTAACCCAGGTTATAACTCCAAACTTTTATTTTAAACTAAATACATTACTGCATTATAAATAAAATAATACAATTTACCACGGCTTGCAAATTGATGTATCTTTGAGCAGATCGCAATTCACACATACATTATTTTCATTGAATTTTAATAATTGATTGTAAGACACAAACCGCAATAAAAAAAAAATACATACGTATTTCAAAAATATGATAGTATTAAAAATCTTATTCGTGCTTCGATCAAACCTAGAACTCTTTTAAATTTGACAAGCTAAGAACTATATTCTTACTCGAACATTTACAATTTATAAATCATTTTATTATTGTAATTATGCATAACATAAAGTTTTAAATAAACAGCCGGATTACAATAAATTGTATGACCCCAGATTCGTATTGATCTTTATTTAAAAAATAAGAAAGAATGAGCGGAAACAACATAAATAGATTTAATATTTAGTTCCTAGTGAATCCCTATTTCGAAATACAACAATAATAAATGATTCATCTCATACCATTTTCATAGAATTATTGAGCTAGTGTGTGTTAGTGTTATTAGAAATATAACGATCGTTAAAATAATAATAATAATAAGAACGTGAAATTAAGAATAATACTGAGATTTGAATTTAAATCATCATCAAATTGTCAGACGATGTATAATCGAATCCAACTCTCTAGTAAGCACAAAGAATGAATTTAAGGATACAATTTCCAGTCCGGGGGAAGTTGTCCCATTACTTTATAAAATCTGACGCGGCGGTGTATTCTTGACTTGATCAACATCAAACGGAATTTGGCAGCTTTATTATGACGATTACATTCCAAGTACTTTCGAACAGCGATAGCTTTCTTGATCAAATGATAAAGGTCTTCAGGAATCTCGGGTGCTAGACCTTAAAAAAAAATAATCAATATCATAATATCAATACAATTACTCAGGTAAAATTTTTTTTTTTTCTTAAAACAATTGCTTTACCGTAAGACTTCAAGATTCTAAGAATTTTATTCACCGTAATGTCTTTAACTGG